GTTGTGTTCAGCTACAAATATGTATAAGGAATAGTTCAATTTACCCGCTACACAGTTTCCAGAACTCTATTCACTGGAACCCAGACCGTTTGTTTTGTCTAAATTAACTAAAGTATCCCTTGAGTAATAAATATTCCAATCTGTTTTAACAGGTTTAAAAGTGGAAGCTTCCAAGTAGCGTTAAATATCTATTTCAATTTCGGAACTGCATACTATCCAAATACTGTAGATTGCACTTACAAGTGTGTACGGATGAGCGACTTAATGATTCACAGCCGTTGTTGTATTAGAGTCTACACCGTGATGTCCGCTCGGTTGATCATCAACACTAACACTACGTATTAGAAATGGGTGTACTTTTCTGTGTAGTATGCAGAAACGAAGTCAATAGTTCATTTACTGATATTACAAAATGAATTATTTATACAATTAGTTCAAAATTTTATGATGTCATAAAACTTTAATTGGTGTCGCAAATGTTGACATTTTGATGTCAATAAATGAATATATGATGTCTTAAAGCATTTGATAATAAATCAATAACTTATTTCACTTCAAAACAACATGTTAATATAGCTAAATATCTTAATTTTTTATGTTTCTTTAATTAATTTCGAATTTGTTGTATCATTTATTTCCCCTTTTACAATAATTGTTCCCCTGATTGTGTTCCCTCGGGAGTGTGGGGAGCTTAAGTTAAATGTCATGTTGATCATATCAATAGACATAAAGCCTTGAAAGCTATCAATAATAATTCACACACAAACACAAAGCAATGTGACCATGAATTTAAATGCGTGGTATGCATGAAGGCCAATATGGCTTACCTCTAGCTCATTTACATGCATTGAAGGATAATTCATTACCTTCCTGACCCTGGGTGTGAAGAATTATTGATTTAATAAATTGGATTTTTAGATATGAATTTGCCAAATCTAATGAACCATATCCACAATTCATGTTTTTAATGTTGCTTATTCGATTTATTGATACCAAAAAGATATAAATGCATTAATTACAATTACGAAATCAAATGTGTGATAAAATATGGAATAAATACTGAAACGGCAACTCGTGAATCAGTTCGACATGGTATTACCTAATCAAGCGTTCAAAACATTTCTGGTTTCAATCTCAGACTTGTGGTTCCAGAGATTGGGAAACTCAGATCGGTTTATCAATAATTTTGTATTTCTCATGCTAATGTGGACGATAGGCAAGACAGGTCACTACTGACGTTCAATAAGAGCAGTGTTGTTTACTTATGTGCCCCTCAGGAGCAAGGATGCCCTTGTTGTGGGTTCGAATCCTTCATCGACTTGTTAGATGGTTTGGTTATTATAACCGACGGAGCTAGCAAGTAATATGTTCGTGTATTGAGTGAGTGAGTTTAAACAGGTCTTTATACCGCAGTGTTTGGGGCTGGTAACATGCTGCATGCTGGAAACCAGGAGCACGGCTGTTGTGTGACACTCTGGGCATGATATAAGGGACAATAGATACCAATACGACTTGTCGGAATCAATATTTCATATACCTTCAGAGAAAACCAGCTCTGTACTGTTGTGTTCAGCTACAAATATGTATAAGGAATAGTTCAATTTACCCGCTACACAGTTTCCAGAACTCTATTCACTGGAACCCAGACCGTTTGTTTTGTCTAAATTAACTAAAGTATCCCTTGAGTAATAAATATTCCAATCTGTTTTAACAGGTTTAAAAGTGGAAGCTTCCAAGTAGCGTTAAATATCTATTTCAATTTCGGAACTGCATACTATCCAAATACTGTAGATTGCACTTACAAGTGTGTACGGATGAGCGACTTAATGATTCACAGCCGTTGTTGTATTAGAGTCTACACCGTGATGTCCGCTCGGTTGGTCATCAACACTAACACTACGTATTAGAAGTCGGTGTACTTTTCTGTGTAGTATGCAGAAACGAAGTCAATAGTTCATTTACTGATATTACAAAATGAATTATTTATACAATTAGTTCAAAATTTTATAATGTCATAAAACTTTAATTGGTGTCACAAATGTTGACATTTTGATGTCAATAAATGAATATATGATGTCTTAAATCATTTGATAATAAATCAATAACTTATTTCACTTCAAAACAACATGTTAATATAGCTAAATATCTTAATTTTTTATGTTTCTTTAATTAATTTCGAATTTGTTGTATCATTTATTTCCCCTTTTACAATAATTGTTCCCCTGATTGTGTTCCCTCGGGAGTGTGGGGAGCTTAAGTTAAATGTCATGTTGATCATATCAATAGACATAAAGCCTTGAAAGCTATCAATAATAATTCACACACAAACACAAAGCAATGTGACCATGAATTTAAATGCGTGGTATGCATGAAGGCCAATATGGCTTACCACTAGCTCATTTACATGCATTGAAGGATAATTCATTACCTTCCTGACCCTGGGTGTGAAGAATTATTGATTTAATAAATTGGATTTTTAGATATGAATTTGCCAAATCTAATGAACCATATCCACAATTCATGTTTTTAATGTTGCTTATTCGATTTATTGATACCAAAAAGATATAAATGCATTAATTACAATTACGAAATCAAATGTGTGATAAAATATGGAATAAATACTGAAACGGCAACTCGTGAATCAGTTCGACATGGTATTACCTAATCAAGCGTTCAAAACATTTCTGGTTTCAATCTCAGACTTGTGGTTCCAGAGATTGGGAAACTCAGATCGGTTTATCAATAATTTTGTATTTCTCATGCTAATGTGGACGATAGGCAAGACAGGTCACTACTGACGTTCAATAAGAGCAGTGTTGTTTACTTATGTGCCCCTCAGGAGCAAGGATGCCCTTGTTGTGGGTTCGAATCCTTCATCGACTTGTTAGATGGTTTGGTTATTATAACCGACGGAGCTAGCAAGTAATATGTTCGTGTATTGAGTGAGTGAGTTTAAACAGGTCTTTATACCGCAGTGTTTGGGGCTGGTAACATGCTGCATGCTGGAAACCAGGAGCACGGCTGTTGTGTGACACTCTGGGCATGATATAAGGGACAAATCTTGAATTGGTATCTACGGTCATCATGATTCTGGCACGACTTAGAGAAGCAGACCTGGAGATCTCCAGACGCCGCAGGATTACCCCATCTTCCAGACTTTCGGCATCTACAGTGTTCCAGACTTGACATAATGTGAGTGAGACCATTTAGTTTTATTCCAGCAAATTCCAGCAAATATCACGGTGGGGAACACCAGAAATGGGCTTCAGACATGCATTCATGTGGGGAATCGAACCCACGTCTTCGGCGTGAAGTGTGAACGCTTTAACCACTAGGCTATCCCACCACTCCCTTTACATAATGAAGGCAACAATAGAATACACTTAGTATCACAATGAGAATTTATTAACTACACTTGGTGAATTATGGATTGGGTTTGTGCCGTGTTTATCATTAGCATCACAGTGGGGAAATCAAGGACGGTGTACTGAATAGCTAGCAACCAAACCTATGTATTTTGCGGTACCTATTCTGTAGGCAAAAAGGGGCACAGAGGCCTATACTTACATTTACTCAACGTTAGTGTTATCGTACGACTTAGACAACATTACATTTTACATATACTGGTTAATATACTCGTATATTCATATGAATAGACTCATGAAAAATGAAAATAATTATTTGTATATTATATGGTTGGGATCCCCCCAAAGTGTCCTTGAAATACTGTTTAAAAGCCATTCACAGATATGAATCTTTGTCAATTGAATCAATTCAGGGTATCCATTCGCTAGTCAGCGAGCTACGCCATTAAATAACCACCAGGCTGTCCTAACCGCCTCGCTCCACACAGACGGCCGTGTTCCATCCAGTCCCAGACAGGCATATCCAATCCCACGCCATCACTGCTCCCCAGACACATGTACCGGTACTCAATATTTTGAGACTTTGAAATTAAGATTTAGAGACAAATCCAAAACTTCTCTATTATAAGACATATGAAGTTGCTGAGAGCCTTAATGGATTTATAGGGCGGTGGTGTAGCCTAGTGGTTAAAGGGTTCGCTCGTTGCACCGAAGACCTAGGTTCAATTCCCCACATGGGTACAATGTGTGATGTGATGGCCCCCGCCGTGATATAGCTGGAACATTGCTAAGAGCGGCGTAAACCATACTAACCTCAATCAGTCACTCACTTAATAGATTTATGACACAGTCGTTAAAGGCGACGCAAGTCTTTATGCAGAGTTACGTCCCTTGGTCTCCAATTATGTCACCAGGTGTCAGCACCATACCTGTGCTCGTCGTTTCACCTAAGTAGTAAACGTGTGAGACAAGCGTCACCCCGAGCTGTCCTCACACATTTACCCCGTGTCATGGCTGGAAAACCGTTCCAAGCAGTGTCAAACCACGAGTTACACACTTCTACATAATTCTGTACCCTGAAACCTTCTGTTACACAGCTTACTCTGTGTCCTTCATCTGACGTATTCACAATCAGGCTCTTTCTGAAAGACTTCGTTCTGAGTCATATGGGCTTTCAGTCCATGTTGATCTAACTGCCAACAACATGACCGAAATATTTTCAAACCAGTGTCACTCATGAAATGTATTTAATAATGTATTAATTGATGTATTATATTATGGAATCAATGTGGTTGAGCTAAATTCCCAAAGGTTTGTTGCATAAAGATACGTTGACGGAATATTTTATTAGTGTTTGAACCACTATCATATACCATTTTTGATGATCCTCAAAACAGAACTAATCCTGTTCGTTTTAATAGGTTTTACCCATGGGTGACATGTATTTACCCTCTCTTAGTGCTGGAATATTTGATGAAGGCTCTTACAGCTACGGCCACCAAACTGCCGTTGTCATCTTTCCCCATCAACAGAAAGTGTGCATCATAAATTATGAATCACGAAATGAAGTTCTCGTTCTATAAGAGTGAAAGGCAGTGCGACACTTTAACAACAATTCACAACATAACCCATACATAGTGACGCAAAACAATGCTTTATTAACAATGACAAACTCTCAATGAGGCGTATTAATACAGAGGCTTAACGAGAGCGACAGGTCAAAGTGGGTCAAGTTCAAGGTCATCCGATGTTGTTATGACGTCGGCTGTAACACACTCCGTTCTGGACTTTCCTCTTTAGATGCAGCTTTTTGTTACTCCTATTGTTGTAGATAAATATGTATGTGAAATATTTAATGAATCGATGGGGTTATTGCGGCAGTCCTTTACTTCAGTCAGATGTACTTTCATGACAGTTGGAGAAAGATGGCGAAATATACACACGAGACAGGAAGTGACGTAATAGAGAACTGATATGTCATTAATTTGGTGCAGCCACTACCTCATTTGCGGCCTGAAATAAATAAAATACACATGATATAATTTTTATTTAGTCATGATATGAAAATATACTCATGGCAAAAATACAAACTCTACGTAAATGAGAACGAGGCTTAAATGTAACGTGTCAATTCGATATTGGGTAACAGTGAAGACAGGTCCCCAGCTGAGTAAATTTATCGTTAAAACCAAATGTCAAAGCATAGTGGTAATATGAGACATTGCACTCGCATGGTGTATCGTGATAATTATTCATGATATTTTCGAATTTATTTTGATCTCAAATTTGCTCCAAGTCCATGTCTACAGTTGGCCTAATATAAAAAACACGTCTGTCAACACCCATCCCCACCCTTATCAGCCCTGCGCCACCCGATCCACCCTACTGACACGTGAATTGATCTTCAGCAGCCCATGGTAAGAGGTAAGAGGCGACTAACGGGATCGCATGGTCAGGCTCGCTGACTTGGTTGACACATGTCATCGTATCCCAATTGCGTAGATCGATGCTCATGCTGTTGATCACTGGACTGTTTGGTCCAGACTTGATTATTTACAGAGCTCCGCCATATGGCTGGACTATTGCTGAGTGCGGCTATAAACAACAAGCAAACAAACAAATCACGCTACTGACCACTCCTCATGCATGGGTATGGGATGAAGTGGTTGTGTGACTGCCGCATGCAGATTCCCATGTACATCCTCTTCTCAACGGTCTTGCCCTGTCCTCCGGCAAGCACACTGGGGTTCAACTTGCCTTCCTGAACCAGCTGGAACACAACAATACCTTCAAGTATACCACAGACAGACACATCATAGACAATATTACTGAAATCTATATCACAGACAATATTACTGAATCCTACACCACAGACAAGCCTGTACACCCAGCAGTGTATGACAATATATCACTGAATCCTACACCACAGACAAGCCTGTACACCCGGCAGTGTATGACAATACATCACTGAATCCTACACCATAGACAAGCCTGTACACCCGGCAGTGTATGACAATACATCACTGGATGCTACACCATAGACAAGCCTGTACACCCGGCAGTGTATAACAATACATCACTGAATCCTACACCATAGACAAGCCTGTACACCCGGCAGTGTATGACAATACATCACTGGATTGCCGGGGTGCCATAGGGATTGTTCCAGTTATCATCTTTCTACCAGACCGAGATGTTTGCTGGTAAACTTTTATGTCAAGAAATATACTGACAGAAACAAATAGAGGATCACAGGAACGTTCAAGCGTTCCCTTAATATTTTTCCAGCTTTGAATACCGCTGTGGTGATAAAACCTAGAAAATAAGAAAGGAACGCTTGAATTTTCCTATGGTCCTTTATTGGTTTCTCACATGTATATGTAAAACTTATGTATGTTTCAAATAAATCTCTTTGTGATTTATCCTATGTGTATCAAAAGAAAAATGTGAGTTATAAAACTGTTTCAATAAGACTAACAAGTAACGTTGACGGTAAGATATTGTTCCATGATGCGGCTGTCGATATGAATCGTCCATAGTCGGATACAGAACAGGAATAGTGGCTTTTCTAATTAATGTATACTGAGTGAAACAAATAACAGAACACCACTTCATCGTAGTAATCCTTTATCTATTCTCAGAGATTTTCAACCACAGTGTAATACAAAGCTTGTGAAGAAACCTGGAAAAGAACGAAGGAACACTTTTACTTTCATGCGTTCCCTTATTTGTTTCCCTCAGTATATAAACAAGTTACAGATCACCCACAGTTCCAAGGCTAGTGTTGCAATACCCGTCTGCCATCATTAACTATAGAATGAAAACACAGATGTTCTTTAACCTCTCGTGAGTGGTATGTTACAATCACTGTTTGGTCTGACTATGTCAATGCAAGCGAAGGGTATGGCTCTACCTTGAAGTGTAACAGGACATTCGTCTGTCTGCAACACTGACAGAGTGTCACGAACATGAAACAGTCATGTATTATAATGCACCAATTCTGCGGTTTCCTCTTTACAACTAGTTCTATTCCCCTGAAACTAATCAAAAGCTTTTTAAATTAAATCTAGTCGAGCGACAAGACAAACTCGGCGTATGTGCAATAGCTGCGAGAAAATGGAGCGCGGTGCTAACACCATGCTGCTTTATGACATATTATCACATGGTATGTTGATGCCATGTCCCTGTGCCACGATATTAATTGACATTGCAGGCCCATACAAGCTAAAAGGGCACCGGTCGGGATACTAGACATTAACGTGATGAAGTCGCATAAAAATGCAGAGGTTTTCTCACATCGGAGTGGAATTACTTGCTCGCCGAATACAGTTAGCCTTTATATTCAACTCGTAATTTCTGCGTGAATAGTTTGGTGTCAATGGTATCATCAGGTGGCGTGTTCGTTCTGACAACTCAAACAGTTCGGCGTCGATTGTTTCATGAGGCGCCGTGTTCAGTGTGACAACTTATCACACAAGGCTCTACAGCTCCATTGTATAAAAGTGATTTGGGACCTGCTGTTTCGGGCCTTTGTTGTTTACGTCACGGATTTATGTTTGACGTATGTGACGTGTGCACATAAAACAGATCACGTGACCAATAGTCGCTCGTCTCTTGGGTATTTTGTCATTGATTTATGTTCCTATGCACACTTGTTTGATTACGATGGTGAAAAAGTCCACCGTACTGTGTTGACATGATTCTCACGGGACTTCCATTATCAGCGATAGCTGTATCGAGCGGAGCTGACGACATCAAAATCAGGAGGTTTGGTCTGCTCATCGAGCTTATTCATTGCCATCCGATAACACTTTGCCAGTTAAGATATTGTCAATTGTTTTCTCGGCATAACCTTTGGAAACCGGAAAGGTTCATGTGGCCTCACTCACAGTTTCCATGGGAGATTCCTTACAACGAAATGGAGGAAGTCAGGGCAAGGGAAACCAAAGGATCAACAGAGAACATATGATATCTTTGTTGTCAGATTACTTCTGTGAGCTGGTATAAGAGACACCGTTTGATGACACTACTTCAGCTCTACCATCGCTTCTGTGGGGGATTGCAGCATTATTTCATTAGATCATATTTAAACCATGTTACTTCCTAACTTGTCTCCAGAGCAACGGGGTCACCATGACACGATTCCGCATTGAATAAAGAATTTATAAGGTCATAAATGAGTTCTATAAAATATCTATTTCTAATAGATCACTGCATTCTCATCAACACCCCTAGGTCCCATTGGCAAAATGTGATAATTCCATCTCGTGATTCATTATGTTTCTTTCAATGTTTCTCTTTTCAACAGACTAGTTATGTACAGCTTGTTGTCGATAATCATTGCCAGCAGTGCCACGGGCTTTCTCCTAATAACTATGGTGAATACAGCCGACAGAATACAACACCATTCAAATGCTAATCTGAACGTTGTCAGTCAACACCGCTACAAGAGTATTTGGCTGATTCCATGTTTATACCGATAACAGCAATAAAACATTGCTCTAATTGGATTTGTATAGCATTTCTCATTGCTTGACACACGCATGCGTTTGCGCATATGAACTACGTACCCAGTGCAGCAGTGAACTTATATCCTAATCTATCCAAGATACTTCACTATGTAACGCGAAACTCTGTCAAAAGAAACGCAACCCCTGTCCTCAGATATGAAAAATTCGTTTGAATGAAGTTATTGCTTCAAACTAAATTTTATTCGAATGTATTGAAATGATACACGTAATTAATGAAGATTACCATCCAAACAACTGCATTTGTACGCATAAGTGTATTTTATTGCTTATTCCGTCACAACGCATGAAATGACCCTCATGGTGACTTCGCACAAAAACACATGCAAATCATGAAAATGGCAGTTAATGTAGGGGTGTATAAAAGCCCATGTGCTTCCGTATTATATTCATTCATTTGTCGCCGAAAGCTGTGTTAAAATGCCACGATTGAGTGCTGCCGACCGAAATATCGCCATTGGTCGTGTTCAAGCCGGAGAAAGTTTTGGAACTGTTGCACGGCACCTAAATGTTCACAAAACAACGATATCCCGACTTTGGAGCCGCTACAACAACTTCAATTTGACCAACGATCGCCCGAGAAGTGGAAGGCCAAGAATCACGACCCCCTTCAAGATCGGTACATCCGGGTCCATCACCTGCGTAATCGGCATGCCCTACCAACCGTGACTGCCACACAAATACCAGGTTTGAGGAGAGTGTCAGCTCAAACGATTAGGAACCGTCTGAAGAAGCGGGTTTACGTGCCTGTAGACCAGTTGTTGGACCTGTACTACGCCCCCTACATCGACGCCGACGACTCAGGTGGTGCAACAACGTAAGGATACGGACTTTACAAAACTGGAGGCGAATCTGGTTTTCTGATGAATCACGTTTTCTTTTTGCAACGTCACGACGGAAGACAGCGTCTGTATAGGAGACGTCATAAACGTTTTGCGCCCATCTGCGTCCGACAGGTGGACAGATTTGGCGGAGAAAGCGTCATGGTTTGGGGAACCATCTCATACAACCAGAAATCAGACTTGGTGATCGTTCCAGGGAACCTGACAGCCCAACGTTACATCAACCACGTGTTAGAGCTTCACCTTCTCCCGATTATTGACCAACAGACACAGATTTTCAACGGGACAACGCCCGGCCTCATACTGCACGTGCAACAATGAACTTTCTGCAGAATTCCAACGTCAATGTCTTGCCATGACCCTCTAAATCACCAGACCTCAACCCTATTGAACACCTGTAGGATGTCTGGATACTCTGGATCGACGCGTACGTCAACGTCAGCCGCCGCCACAGACGCTGCAACAGCTCGCCGTTGCACTGCAGGAGGAGTGGAGAGCCATTCCCCAGGAAAAATGAATCCGGCGTCTTATCCGTTCTTGTCCAAGGAGATGCCGTGCAGTGATTGCAGCGCGTGGTGCTCATACGAGATACTGAAAAGACGCCCCCTGGTGACAAACTGGTGTCTGTGAGATGACTTTTGAAATGACAATTTTAAACATGCCCATCTGGGTTATTATTCTGCCAAATTTCAGACTTCTGTCTTAAATAATAAAAATGCCGTGTCGTCCTAAAACTTCAGATCAAAATCTCTAAAATACAGGGGTTGCGTTTCTTTTTGACAGAGTTTATATCCGTAATAAAGGAGATTAAGCTGTTCGTTATTCATATTTCGAATTGTCATGATGAACAATTTTAATTTCACAATGTAATTATATAATACACTTATCACAGACAAATGATTTTGATTAAAAATTGTTTGTATTTGTATATATTTCGGCTTAAAGATAAAGGGATGATAAACACTAGATTGAAACATTATGATGTGTGTTGCCAGTAGCAGATATACAGAAATGAACATTCCGTGAAGTGTAAAGAGGCCTCTTAATATAAGTTCTACAAACTTGATATGGGAATACATTTAGATAGTGTCATGTTGTCAAAACAAACAAATATATCAGTGTTCTCCATCTCACACAGAGGCACACACATGGTTCATGCATGCAGGAAAGAACTAGTCTCATTTCAACATGGGAACATGGGTTGTCTTACACTTTCTTCAGTTTATTCATTTTCAGAAGCTCATCATGCGATTAGGTCGAAGAGAAATCACCGAGATCTACTAAAAACATTAGATGAAGAAAAAAGCCACATGCCATTCAACCAAGTCCAACAAACACTGTGTGATGCATTAAAAGAAAACACAACCTGCAATTAAGCGAGTTTAAGAGGCATTTATCTTCCAATTGATACCCCGAGACGTGTAGTAACGCAAACACAACTTAAGGTGCTTAAGCCATGGAGAACCCACCCATCGGTAAGTTGACAGCCAAAGACGTGAACATGTCGAAAACAGCGACAAGGGATTGTTTGTAGTTGTATCCGACATCGCTTCTGTCTCAGGGGGACTTAAGGAAACACGTTTAGTAGGGATAAGGCGATTTGTGTACCATTAAAAGATTGGGAGGCAAAGATTAGGCCAGTAAGTGGTGGATGGGAAATCTTTGGTTTCACAGACTGACATGAAGTCATGATGTCGCACGCGGGCTCCAAGGGGTTGATGAGGGTGCGAAATCTCAGGTTTCAGAGGGGGTGCCTGGGTAGCCTAGTGGTTAAAGCGTGTGCTCGTCGCTTGCCGAAGACCCGGGTTCAATTCCCCACATTGGTACAATGTGTGAAGGCCATTTCTGTTGTCCCCCGGCGTGATATTGCTGTAATATTGCTAAAAGGCGGCGTAAAATCAAACTCACTCACTCACTCACTCAGGTATCAGAAACCGATATTTAGTCCGAGCTGTTGTTCAAATGATCAAATGTGATTTCATTCAGTTAATACACACTACCAATGCACTATAGCTACTAATGCAGGTGAATGTAGTTAGCGACCTTTTGCTTCATTCATACAAAGCGTATGGTAGACGTGGTCGGTTCACTTGTCTTCACACTAAAATGACTGTTTTCTCTCAAAGCGACTGCAGCGCTGTGGCGACCGACATGATGTGTACACACGTGACTAACTGCAGTCCCTGCACTGAGATTGAAACTGTGAAACTGGGTGCAAATTTTCACATTGTTTTGATATTATTACTACTTGGAAATTGTACCATAACCACATTAAAACAATCAACTATTTATGCCTTAACCTGTTTTACAAACATTAGGATGTTCAAACAAAATTCTGAATTTGTCTAATGTGCTCATAATAGTCTCCGTGAGAATTAGAGCAGAATGAAATATCGAGCGTTCAAAAACATGATCCCTCAGCAAATAGGACATTTGCTGATATCTGATAGTGACGGAGTTGATGCACTTATAAAAGATTCTGCATTATCCTTCTACATAATGCTTCTGACGCTGATCACTGTTTGGAGGATACTTATAATTGCCAGTGTGTCTTATGATCAGCGTTCGAACATGGGTCCTTAGTCCCCAAACCGACTGAAAACCACTCGGACCCACAGATTTTGTTTTTTACAGGTCCTTAAGGCCGACAGCTTTTTATCCCCATTATTTCCATATTACAATATCGGACCTACACATTCTGATCAGGACCCGCAACTTCCTTAGACCTGCAGCTTTGTTATGGGTCTGGGTCCTTAGACCTGCAGCTTTGTTATGGGTCTGGGTCCTTAGACCTGCAGCTTTGTTATGGGTCTGGGTCCTTAGACCTGCAGCTTTGTTATGGGTCTGGGTCCTTAGACCTGCAGCTTTGTTATGGGTCTGGGTCCTTAGGCCTGCAGCTTTGTTATGGGTCTGGGTCCTTAGGCCTGCAGCTTTGTTATGGGTTTGGGTCCCTAGACCTGCAGCTTTGTTATGGGTTTGGGTCCTTAGGCCTGCAGCTATGTTATGGGTCTGGGTCCTTAGACCTGCAGCTATGTTATGGGTCTGGGTCCTTAGACCTGCAGCTTTGTCATGGGTCTGGGTCCTTAGACCTGCAGCTTTGTTATGGGTCTGGGTCCTTAGACCTGCAGCTTTGTTATGGGTCTGGGTCCTTAGACCTGCAGCTTTGTTATGGGTCTGGGTCCTTAGGCCTGCAGCTTTTCAGGCTTAAGGGCAAGCACTTGTGATATATGACTGAGTCTTGCACTTCCATCTTAGACTAAGCAGTGTTCAAGTCGGACTGATTGCCGACAGCTCCATTGCAACAATCCATGCATTTTCCCCGTTTAACATTATTGGCTAAACACAACGTCATGCTTATGTGAGAATGTTTAAGTCTAAGTTAAGGAACATTAATGGCTAAACACGCGCTTATGTGAGAATGTTTAAGTCTACTTTACAGTGGATGTTATGGAACATTATTGGCTAAACACGTACCTATGTGAGAATGTTTAAGTCTACTGAACAGTGGATGATACGGAACATTATTGGCTAAACACGTACCTATGTGAGAATGTTTACGTCTACTGAACAGTGGATGTTATGGAACATTATTGGCTAAACACTTACCTATGTGAGAATGTTTACGTCTACTGGACACCGGATGTTACGGAACATTATTGGCTAAATACGTACCTATGTGAGAATGTTTAAGTCTACTGAACAGTGGATGTTATGGAACATTATTGGCTAAACACGTACCTATGTGAGAATGTTTACGTCGACTGTACAGTGGATGTTACGGAACATTATTGGCTAAACACGTACCTATGTGAGAATGACGAATGTTTATGGAACGTCTACTGAACCTATGTGTGGATGTTGGATGGAACATTATTGGCTAAATACGTACCTATGTGAGAATGTTTACGTCTACTGAACAGTGGTTATGGAACATTATTGGTTAAACATACCCATGTGAGAATGTTTACGTCTACTGACACCGGATGTTACGGAACATTATTGGCTAAATACGTACCTATGTGAGAATGTTTACGTCTAACTGTACATTATTGTGGTTCCTATGTGAGAATGTTTACGTCTACTGTACAGTGGATGTGGAACATTAAACACGTACCTATGTGAGAATGTTTACGTCTATTGAACAGTGGATGTTTACGTCTAACATTATTGGCTAAATACGTACCTATGAACAGGTTCCTATGTGAGAATGTTTACGTCTACTGTACAGTGGATGTTACGGAACATTATTTGCTAAACACGTGCTTATGTGAGAATGTTTACGTCTACTGTACAGTGGATGTTATGGAACATTATTGGCTAAACACGTACCTATGTGAGAATGTTTAAGTGTACTGTACAGTGGATGTTATGGATCATCTGATTATATACGAAACACATTCCAGCTTCTCGGATGACTCCCTCCTCCCGTGAGAGTATTTGCCGACCCGATTTCAAATGTCTAATTCATCTAATGCACAAAGCAAGTCTAAACATAGCTGACATGGGACTGGGACATCCAGAACATTATCTGTGTACGTGAATTATTGACGACGTGACATCTAATACGCATCATTGATGGATGTGGTATTGTGTACAGAGTGGTTGTCTGATGAGACACGAAGAACGCATGGCTAGACACCCCATGACCAAGAGAATCCGAGAGGGATCGTGACACACAGACACTGAAACCCATTCAGGGGGGCATTCAGAACAATTGTATGAGTCATTATGATCTATTAATTTACGCACATCAGTTACTACACGATTCGTCATTGTGACATTCTAGAGAAACAAAATAACATAATGAACACACCAGGGAGTTGAGGACTGTTGTATTATGCCGCAGTCAATATTTAAGCCATGTCACGGTGGCCATAAACGATCGCTCGATGACACGCAGTCTGTCAAGGTCTATTGCACAAAGTGACCTTAGCTCTCCGATTGTCGTAAGTCTATGTCAAGGTATGACAGTTACGGTCACCTTAGCACTAAGATCGCTCTGTGAAGAGTTGCATACGCCCAACTAGGTGAAGTTACTTTTGAAGGTGTTCATAATTTTAGTTTGACACCATGAGTATATTTGGTTTTTACGCCACTGTTAGCAATCGTGTGTTGGGAATCGAAACAAATCGCTTTTGGTGAGACGAGCCATCGATTTAACAGTTATATCCGCTCGGCTATCACGTGCCCGTGTCAGAATAGGGCCCGTATGTAGGTTATGGCACTTCGCGAGACCTTACGTTGTTTAGTACTTCCGGTAACAAACAATGTTTTATACCTTTTCTAATGGTCTCATGGTGATCAGTTGACAGTAAGGAACCTATAATCCCTGCAAGATTAACAAATTTCCGATCTAACCATCCACAAACCATCCGATCTAACGATGGTTGTACACTTGGTCCGGTCTAGTAAAGTCATATTTGCCGGTCCAGAACCAGAGCTGGTTCTTGAATATACTGACTGACTGACTGAGTTTGGTTTTACGCCGCTTTAAGCAATATTCCAGCAACATCACGGCGGGGAACACCAGAAATGGGCTTCACTCATTGTACCCATGTGGGGATTCGAACCCGAGTCTTCGGCGTGACGAGCCAACGCTTTAACCACTAGACTACCCCACCGCCCTCTTGAATATACGCTTGTCACCGGTAACCTGGTACAGGAAGTAAGCTGGGCCCCGCAAAAGAAGCCTGGAACCAGCTTAGTACCGGAAGTGTCGCCTCCCGAGACTTACAGGCCCTTTTCGGAAGCCATTCATCACCTTCCTCGGCTCTCGTGCAAACATGGCGAACGCTGCGAACACTGTTAACACTGTGCGAACACTGCGCGTACACCTGCCTGTTATGAAAAGGTCTTCCGGTAAAGGCTCATCCATCAAGGTGAATTTACGGATGTCCTGAATACGACACGTAAATACAACTTTAGGAGAGGAATATATCTGTAGACAGTAATTGATTGTGTCAGCTCACCTCTTCCATGGCTATCAAAACTGTCTGCTTGACCATCTCGAAGTCCTCCTGGCGTGTGTCCATGTACTTTGGTCGCTTCTCTGCTGCCAGGCTAGCCTGTTGAGATAACAAAGCAAACATGTAGATATATATGACACAACGGAGTGGCAGCAAACCCTATGGATATCACAGTGGTTGTTCTATGTACAACTGGTTGTGCCACTGCTGCTACTACTAGTATTTGGTTTTTTAGTTTGTTGTTTAAAACTGCACGCAGCAATATTCCAGCTATATGGTGACGGTTGCTAAATAATCAAGTCTGGACCAGACAATCCAGTGATCGATAGCATGAGCATGGATCTCCGCCATTGGGATACGATGACATGTGTTTACTTCTAGTACCTGTCGCTATTACCATATCGTCTCCTACAAACACTACCGCGGCCATCCATTTACAAACATGGATGCCTTACATTGGATAATGACATTTAAATTGGATGAAACAGGCAAAAACCTCTACCGTCGGGGTGCACGTCACCAGTCAGGATTGTGACAACTGAAGTCTCGATCTAGTCGAAGCCTGAGGGCCAAAATAGCTCACAATGATATATACTTTGTGAAATCAGTGCTTGTGAGTGGTTTCTGCGATACCTGCCATTGACGACTAACACTGCATATACAACTGTCACCATTCATGATTAACCACAACTGACCAGTCACTATTACCAGTTATGACTTTATATAGGATACAGCTGATTGCCGCTTGTCCTATTGCTGACTACACACGACTGGCTACCACAAATATCCGGTCACTGACAACTCCAACCACTTCTGACCCTCAACTGTTAACTTTAACTCTAGTGTCGCTGTCAATAATCACTGTTCAACGTTATACCGGAACCACTGTCTTCAACAACCTTGTCTCACCACAAACTACCTCCTTTAACCACAGCTATATCAACAAATGGTTGATCTCCCGCTTTAATCCTACCTCTGACATCCAGTGCCATAGCACAAGTCTTAGGTTGGTTGGTTTGTTGCTTACTTTGTCTCGACTCTCACCCAAATAACTTTACTTGTAGTGGAGTTTGGCGCGTTACAAATTCACTTTTAAATTTAACTTTCATTAACGCCACACTCAGCAAGATTCCAGCTATATGACGACGGTCTGTAAATAATCAAGTCTGGACCAGACAATCCAGTGATCAGCACCATGTGCATCGATATACACATTTGGGAACCGATGACATGTGTCAACCAAGTCAGCGAGCCTGACCACCTGATCCCGTTAGTCGCCTCTCACACAAGTCTTAGGGAAGTCTACCCAAAGCAATAGATGTTGAGAAAATGACTTGATATCGTGAAATTTGAATTCATTTACTGCAAACCACTTTACCTATTTACAGGTACATGTGTTTGGAGCAATCCACTTTGTAATAATACATGTTTTAAAATGGAAGTCGGGTATGAAGAACATCATTCTCAGCTGCGGATACAGCACATGCTTGGTGCAGAAGTTCTGCGGGAAGGATTTACGGATTTGTAGTAGGCAGTGACGAACGATTCCGCTGAGATCCTACGATCATTCGATGACAAGAAATGATCACTCTTTAAAATACACGATGACACGATACTTGCTATACTCCTTTGATGAATGAGCATTTAACAACACTGAAACAAAACGATTATGAATTTGCCAAAAAACGTCCTTTTAACTTTGCCGAGGTGCGATGTAAAGAGTGTTGAATATGTTCTTAATGGGAAGTAAAACCGTTCGTGTGCTGATCTGTCCATTTATATAGATCTTTAATTGCTTGTAAAATACGGCGTTTGTCACGTGTAATCCTAGCGACTGATGCACCATCACATACGATCAGGATGTGATTAATGCAAGGACAAGGTAACAGTGAAACCAGTTCTGTTCTGCTGGACGCCATGCTAACTACAGGACAGGGAAGAGGGTCTGTCTCTGTGTTGACATACCAGTTACCTATGTACTAGCGGTATGTGGTGGTGTGTGGTCTTGTGCATAGAGCGCAGGTCACAAATAGGGTGAAGTTACGTAACACTGGTCACGGAGAGTCCTTGGATGGGTGACCGTGTTTGGCAGCTGGACTCCTGAGAGTTTCAGAGACTACTGTCCGGCCCCACAACGAAGCACCTATGTGGTCACACCTTAGGCAAGTGAGTTTGTTCAAAATTGCCTCTGTTCACCCAGCAGAAAATGGGTACCCGGTGGTATTAGTCATATGACTATTAACCGTCTAGCTCCTCACAGGCAGCTTCGGTTATCAGGGGTAAAATATAATGACCAGCATGTTGTATACGCTTAGAGCATGTCCCAGCGGCGTGGAGTTCAACGCTGTAGAGGTGGCCTTATTACTATTACTGCAATGTAATTAATTTACTGAGGCATTCAATTCAACTATTTCTGATTTCTTCCATTTTAAAGCCTTTTCATGACCTGATTATATATTACATATAATCGCAGGTGGGAGTCAAACACACAAAGCCATTAACACACGAATTGCAATTGGCAATTTGTGCAATGGCGCTAGTGGCATATATATTTTGCGATGTCAGAATTCTATTCCACATAAGAACATAAGAACCGTGCAGACTGTGACACTGACAACGTACGGTGTCTGTGACAGCCTTATCCGTATTGAATGATTGGTGTGAGTCCCTGTAGGCCACTCACCTCGCCCTGGAGGATCGGTGTCTGTGCAAGAAAATTGGGATAGGCAGCAAAACATTATGTCTTCACAATAAACCACCTCCCAGCAAATAATGCATAAGCGTATCGGTTGACTGTAAGCTTGTTACTGCGCATCTGGTCGTAAATATTCAATTTCAAGCGTTTTTATATGAATTATTCAGTGCTTGCTTTGTGCCTTGCTGTGAATAGAGTACCTAGAGTACCCGTGTATGTCATGTACCGTTCATCTGTTCTTTTCCTTGACATCAATTGTCACATCCTCATATATTGAATCTAAGCCGGATCGATGAGCTTATTGATTTTCTTCGATATCAGTTGTGTCCGTGTATCATGGGCAGGTATACATTACTACTTTGGTATTCATATGAATTGATTTTTTAAAACTACACAATGAAGTCTGTTGACAGATAATCAAAACTGCATGTGTTCTACTGCATGATTTACGAGAAATTAATAGCGAAAAATACTGGGCTTTTTCTCAGGAAGACTAACAGACCAACTGTGCAGGTAATCAATGGAGAGAGAGAGAGAGAGAGAGAGAGAGAGAGAGAGAGATTTTCTTTAGAGAGAGAGAGAGAGATATCAGAGAGAGAGAAAATGAGAACATGAGAGAGAGAGCAATATCTCCTGTGGAACACAGAGAGAGGAGAGAGAGAGAGAGAGAGAGAGAGAGAGAGAGAGAGAGAGAGAGAGAGAGAGAGATTCGTAGTTGAAACCCCAATGAATGGCGTTGGTGGTGACAAACCAGTACTGTTGACGCTTAATCATGGCAAATCTCGGATTCGAACCCGCTATAACCGGTCGTACCTCGCCTTGCCATGTTGCTGTGAATCGAGCCTAATGTTGACGATTTGTCCAAAGACTTAACGTACCTCATCCAGTCTGCCTTCGTCTGCTGGGAGACCGCTAGATGTTGCCACTGCTAACAAAGCGAGCAGAAGTGCGCCGAGGACGGTGGTTGTAGTCACATCCATGATTCTGTAAGGGTAGAAAGTAGGATATAAGTCGCTGTTGTATGACATTCTGTACATACCAGTGTATGAGACAGCCTAGGTGGATAGATCTGAATTCAGACCCGGAGGATTGTTGCATGTTCTTGAGAAAGTTTGCAATCGTAAATACACAACGTGTATGTTGCGTGGTTGTGACAATCAAATGCAAATAACAGAGAAATCTCCTCTTGCCGTGGATCAGATCTTCGATATACGTGAACCTTCGTTTTAACTGAATTACTGAAATGAAATTACGACTCGTATTCACAAAGAAATGGCTTAACAAAGGAAGACAGCAATTGGCGCCTGTGTTAATGCCTTCCGCTAGACTGAATCTGTTATCCCCATATTCCAGCCTAGCGCCTTAGCTACTGTTTTCCCATTAAACTGAAATAACATTTGCTTTCCTTTTCAACAAAATGTCTTGAACCTTTGCAGACAGATAATATACATGTGCCTGTAATGACGTTTAATGACGACTGACGCAAGGATCGAGGAATGAGGTATTTTCCTATGTGTTGTGTGGGTATAGTAGAAATACCACATGTTTTGAAATGGTTCATTTCTAAACTTGTAAACATTCAAGCAGATACTTCGTGTGTGTTTTTAGATTTCACATAATATTCATTCTACATGTCTCAAAATACTTTCAAACTAATGCTATTGAAAGACTATAGTTGTGAAGACTTTAGGTTAGCAGTCAAGCACCGAGTGACAATGTCTCGTAACAGCGTGAAGACACAGATGAAAGGTCTATTCATTACTTTAGCCGAAAGTACGATTGATACTAAATCACAATACATTGCCACATCACATAACGTCTTGAATGCCATATAGAGAGAATATTCCTGGTATTAAAACATATGTTTTCTAAGTAGTCCACTTTCGAGAAATACACTCAGTCATCCCGGAACAAGAAACATGCAGGTACCAAGTCATTCAAACTTTCAAATATCTTGTTTTTCATTCCAGAAACCTTCTTTCTATAGAGAGAATAAGCTCGGCTAAAGTCATAGCGTGTATTCCCCACATTATTGTTGAGGTTTAGTTATCAGTGGATAACAGGTGCTTGCACGCAACACTGTGCTGCAAAGAATCCAACAGGCTTAAATTGTAAAGTTGCTACACATTTATAACAACCAGAGGCATTGATCACCTCATGCCACCAACTTCGCCCTTCAAGATGAAAGACATTCACTTGGCTCATTAGACCAAAAGCCAGTAATAAATCCAGACTTCATTTCCTGCTCCTAACATTTATTTACAAAATTTCAGATTATTATCTTGGACTCCATGTTCTAATTACAGCCTTTCGCCGCTCTTCATTTCCTGCCATCACCGTGCGACCTTTCTCTTACCATCTATAGGTAAACGAGGCTGTTTTGAGAGCGGTCGGCGACATGCACCGATGCTTACTTATCTGCCCTTTAAAGACACCCCTGGGACTACGGGAGGTCACTCCGCCTAAGTGGGCGATCCCCTGTTGGTTTCAAAGTATGTATATTTGGACTGTTGCCGATTCGGACCTGACGTTAGCGTGAATGGCTAACGTATGTGTCATCACAAGAATTAGCTATATTTCTCGTTAGGTAGATTAAGTGAGCTGTTGGCGTCTACACGGCAGGACTTCTGGGACACTTCGGTCTGTGTTTAATCTGGCACAGTACTCTATGATTGTTATACTTGATAGTGATGGGTAATCAGATACTTAACTAGTGCATTGGCCTCTAATGGCTGACTGGTTAAAGATGAAAGATGTATCTTATGCCCACATATGGTTGTGAGGAGTTGACATGTATAAATGTTTTGATGTTTTACAATTTACATTATTATTATTCTTGCGTCTACAAGAACAAGACTATCTGAAGAAGGTGGAGTCGAGTTGTAAACCCAAGGTAACTATATGTGTAACATGCAACAATTAAAGTAAAGCTATGCACTAAGTCCTTTATGTACAAAAGTAAACCTTTCTCATTCCAAGAAAAGACATTTAAATAATAAGTATGTAAACATCGATCACCTGTTGCGTGTACACAGGCTGAAAGCAGATAAGATGTCTTCATAATTAATTCAAAGTCCTACGTTCTGCAGCAAAGCGTGACTCAAATCCTTGGGAAAACATTTCCCTTGTGTATCCATGGATTGACTTTTTGCTAAAGATACCTTATAGTCCTTGCAATTCGGCATTAATGGGTACAACAAGGACTGGTCGGCTCGGAGTCAGTATAATGTGTCTGAGTGGGGTATTCATGCTTCACCGCGTGAGCTAGCACTATAAAACCAGCTTAAGTCTGGGCTAGTACAAGCAGCCGCACATACACATACACACGCATGCACGTCGTCATATGAGCGAAATATTCTCAAGCGCGACGTAAAACCCAATTTCACCTCACCTCACCATGCAATTCACTGCTATGTAACGAAGAAAAAGGTTTGTCTCAGGACAAGTGAACTCGGATTGGGCTTGTATATATGTCTCTCCCAGTTATATGAAGATGTCTTTCTTGCGTCATTTCCTGGAGAATCTCTTTCAGCTTACGTTCAATGCGCAGGAGACCTACATCGCCATTTGCTACAACCCGGCAATCACGCGCATGGGCGGATCCAGGATTTTCGAGAAGGGGATGGGTGGGTGATTGGGGGTGGGGACTGCACATAAATCATGAAGTCCGAAGGTTAGGGGAAATGCTCCTAAGGGGAAAAAGAATTTGGGTTAGGGAGGAGGTGTGTGTGTGTGTGTGTGTGTGTGTGTGTGCGTGCGTGCGTGCGTGCGCGCGCGCACGCCCCCCCCCCTTGGATCCGCCCCTGAAGCGTGTTAAGTTTCCAAAAATGTTGTATATTACAGTAATTGGACTTAGAAATCCCGATGGCTGAGCCAAGATGCTGTACTGTATTGTCGCTGGCTTTGTATCTTTGCAGCCATTTTCAACACGATGCTCTCCATGATAACACAACACAGGCCTTCTATTTTAGTCAAACATGCACACACTCGTGCCATCTGCAAAATACCATCTACTCCAGATCCATCGTTTGGCAAGATATGATTGCATCTAGCTCATGCTAAATTTTGTTTATGGCATTTTCGAGTTTCAGATGTCTTAATTAATCAAGATGCAGAGCTGAATGTCTTAATAATAAAACCCGTTTTAGAAGGCATTGATATTGTGTTTGGATCTTGCTCCCTAGACGAGCATGGTTCGTGTCACCGCTCCAGGCTGTTCACCCACTTGATCTAATGAAGCTTACATGGTGCCTACCACCTTGCTGGAGCCGGCGTCGGAACAAGACAAGTGCTGGCACGGAACGTCGGCGGAGTTATAGTAAAACAATTACTTTGCTCCACTGATGGGAGGGATTTTGAGCCTTTGCCCCTTCATACAAATCAGCATCTTATCGTATATGTCAGACATGACAAAGGTACAGTACCTTGACACATACATCTCTCTGTCTGTCGTCGTTACATTGCAGTGACATTAGTGAGTAGCTTGACACGTGACGTCCTATCGGCAGTATTAGAGCCATCTGGCGACACAACCAGTCCTGTGTGTATCAGTATGTATGTATATATATTTCGGATGTATGTATAAGTTCAAGTTCGTGTTTAGGTATCATCAAACTATATTCAGTATATATTAGGAATGTATCACAGCCAACCAGCTAAGGTAGCTTTGACTGGCACGTTCATGGTGTGGCGTCGACTACCTGCCAGCCAGACCACGTATACCTATAGATCAACCGCACTTCCTTATACTCTGGTTCAGCTCATCCAGGTGTCTTCGACAGTTTGGTACGGCACATCGGGTTTCTTTTTCTTGAGAAGTTCAGATAAAATGATATATATTAAGAATATTAAAGCTATTCTAGTTAAAAGTAACATTAGTTTTACGGTATGCATCTGCCCATCAATAAACAATGCTCTCTCTCCCCCCTGTATGTTCGCATCGCGTTTTACACGTGCGAGCGATGAAACGCTAAACCTACACCACCAGGATTCCATATGTGAATGTCAACTATCTTTCTCCTGTCAGATCCGCTCAAAAAAGGTGTGAGTGAGTATGGTTTTACGCCGCTTTTAGCAATATTCCAGCAATATCACGGCGGGGGACACCAGAAATGGGCTTCACACATTGCGCCCATGTGGGTAATCGAACCCGATCCTTCGGCGTAATGAGGGAACGCTTTAACCACTAGGCTAACACCGCCTCTCAAAAAATGAATTTTTTGGGGAAGATAAATATGCTGTGTATAAGTATGGAATGGCTGAGCAGTTCCACAACATCTTACACCCACTCAGAAACACCAATGATTTATACTATTCACACTTTGCTAAGGATCAAATCATGGATTCAACAGAAAACTATGATGTGGGGTCAAATTTGGTTTAAATATCTAAACTTATTGTAAGCATGGATCCTAGTTTTCAGTATGTCATTTCATCTTGTGGATCCCATACCTGCTATTGGCAGGTGTTGTGTTGACTGATGCCATGAAAGCCATTTTGATGGTTTCTCATGTATCAAGTGCATAAGGTTAGATTAAAGTAACTGTTTGCCCTAAGAGGGGTTACCATGTTATCATTTATCCAGTATAAAATGGATACAATTTCAAATTATGAATCTAAATTTAAGTAAAGTTGTGAATTTTTGTGATCCTTAGCAAAGTGTGAGTAGTATATTATGGTAGACAATACGGCAGCGGTAGACAATACAGCAATAGTGGTCCTATGTATGGTCTCGCGTCCGTCTACTGTCGTAACATAACTAGGTATATGTTTGTTGTTTAACGCCGCACCCAGCAGGTTTCCAGCTATATGACGTCGATATGTAAACAATCGAATTTGAACAAGACAATGGTGTGACTGACATCACATACACCTGTCTGCTCAATTGGGATACAATGACATGCGTCAACCAAATCGGCGAACCCTGTCTCTTATGACAAGTATTGGTTGGTGAAGGCCACCTCTAACCCGGACCTTCAGGGGTA